TATAGGGTAAACCAACCAGTGAAGGAACATTTCATATATATTGATTAAAAATAAGAATTTGAAAGTTTTTCTTTAGATTGACTGGTAACAATAGCTTACTGCCAAACAATAGGAAGTCATCTAGCAATGTTTTGGATTACCTGGTCAAATAGACTTCTCTGGAAATATTTTTGAATTTGTTATTATTTCTGCCACACCTTGTTTCTTTGAAAAAATTATAAGATGAGTGTTTGTATTTATATGTTTGAAGGGGAGCTAATTGCATGTAATAGTTTTATTTTTCTCACTGTGAAAAAGAGTTTTCTCACTGTGAAAAAATATAGTTATTGAAGTTACGTTTTATTTTTTTTAAGCATCATAGCATTATAAAGTACTGAGATAAGGGGGTGTTTATTCACTGGGTCACCAAACGATGAAAAACCAGTGAAGGAACAAGTGTTCCTTTACTGGTTTTTTTTTCTAAGTTAATGAAAATAAAAGATAAATTTTAATTTTCTTGTACCTTTAGTGATGTTCCGCATCAAAAGTATGTTAAAAATACGAAAAACAACTTCTAACCAGTGAGGGAACAGGCATGTTCCTTTACTGGGCATAGATTTCCCAGTGAATGAACAGTATGTGTTAATATGTTGACACTTTAATTTGCAATTCATGATTACAAAAGAAAGTTAACATTTTCCAAGTATTTATATGTTATAATTTCAAGAATAGGCTTGTTTTTAAATATTTGTATGGCTTATAAATTCATATAGAGCATTAAAAAATAACCAAAATTAAGTGTTCCTTTATTGGGTGTTCATTCGCTGGTAAGAGTTGTTCCTTCACTTGTTTTTCTTACAACTTGTTATTTGAACCTCCAAAACTTTAAAACAATATTATGTAAGTTCTCTAAAATTTTTTTACATAATTTGCAATTAGTAACGAATATGTTGACACTGTCATTTAACTAAAATTACGAATTTAGAAATTAATATGATTTTTTAAACGGCAAGCGAAGCTTAAGTGTTCCTTCACTGGTTATTTTACCCTATTAAAAGTTATATGTTGCATGTAATTATCTTTGAATGGGCGAATTTTACAATTGTGTACAAATTTTTTTAAAGAGCTTGAAAAGAAAAAGTAAAATTAACATTAAGGGGTTCAAACTTTGGACCGTTCTCCTGACCAAACTATTGTAACCATATTTCCCAGATTGCGGATATCCCCAATATTTTGGGAGTTAGAAACCTATAGGAAAAAAGGCACGTTTTTGTAACTGATTTCGTGACTTAAGATATTGTCCGCAATAATTAATTAGCATATTTGAGGTCACCCCCTTGAATCATTAAAATTGAGTTCTAGAACGTGAAGATCCGATCATTAAATCAAAAGTTATTAAGGGTGGTCCATTTTTTTTTTGCCCACTGTACAAGTTTAAAAACGTTATATATATCAGGGAATTGCATAAATGTTGAGTCAAACTTCTGGGGGAATTAAGGCATATCATTAGGATTAAAACTGCATAGAAACTCATGTTCAGATACGTCACACGCCGATAGGGGCGCTTACCTATTATGAAACTGTTTCTTCATATGCTTCCGACTAGATCATAATAGGAAAACGCCTGTTTCAAGACGTCACAAAATACTTTTTCCTTCTTCAGCATTTATATTTATATTGAAATCAGCGTCAAGCCAGTAGTTATAGGTTAATAATGAAAAGAATATAAAAATAATTTAAATTATTATGACGTAAATACATTAAAAATGACTGCAAATGAAAATAAAAAGAATTTTAAAAAAATTAACAAACAGCAGCGTTCGCCATAGCAACGCATGGAATGACGGCGCATGCGCACTGTTTACTATTACTTTTAAACACAGTTGAAAAGTGTGACGACGTCCAAAAATAGTGCGCGCCATAAAACTCAAAACAAGACCCTTTTTGCCAATGGGTAAAAAACTAGCGTGGAGAGAGAAATCGATCGCAGATTTAAAATTCCTGAATTAAGCAAGTTTAAGGATTTTTATAAATGCATGAAAAAAAATTTCCTAAGTGTTATTAATTGATTTTAATGATTTACATTTAGGTAGAAAAATCTCGCTGAATTAGAAATTTTTAAAAAAGTTTAATAATTTTATTTAAGTATTTCAACTATTTGTCTAATTTAGATTGGACAAATTCTAAAATATTTAAAGAAAAAATAGTGGAATTATAAACTGCAAACTTCTTTACGGTAAAATAGAATACATAATTTATAATTATAGCTTTGTTTCGAGTTTTAGGTACTTGTATAGAAGCTTTTTTTATTTTTTACTTCCCTTAGTGGAAAAATTACTAAATGCACGCTTAAATTTTTTTGAACCCATTTTCCTTTTGTGGATTGCTTTTATCTTCAGATAAATACGAATTTAGTTGCATGGAGTTATTATAGAAACCTTTTATTCATTTATTTTAATTCTTTCGTTTGGTTTTTAGTCAGGCTCAGTTTATTCGTTTTTCGTTCATTTTATTTCTCACTGATTCATTTGATTGTTCGATTCCTCTGTGTAATCATTAAAATATTTCATATAAATAAATGTAATCATTTAATTTTATGTGTAACAATTAAAATAAAAACGTTTAACATAGCAACGTAAAACATTTCACTGAATAAAACAGATGAAAAATGCCTGAAAGGGATTTGGACTATTTTGATAACTGATTCAGTTAAAATTAGTATACTCGTTATAAAAATGCACACATTTTACAAACGTTGAAAATTACGTCGAAAACGTTGAATGAAAACTGGACAGCTTAAGACACACTGAAAAAAAATTAAGAAACTGTGATTATATACAGGGTGAGTAAAAAGAAAAGAAAACATTAAAGTATCTCTTGAAACATATTTGATTAAAAATATGGAACACATGATGAGTGATACATTTTCCAAGGATACATTCAAAGGTGCCCAAACACAACTGCCAAACTAGAGCACCAGTAATCAACAGGTGACCATTACACATAAAATGGCCACAGAAGTATGAATCTCTAATCACATAAAGTGGCGACTTAGTTTCAGTTCTTAACATATAAAGGAATAAAATACATGGCGATTTGCACCGGTTCAATCTTAAATTTATGTTCTATTTCGATCGTTTTCCGGGATTTTTTTCCCTGCAAATTTGCACGTTTTTGAAATCCCGATATTTATGATGCGATAATATGACACGCGAATATCTAATCGCTCCTTTTTATTAATCACTTTTTGAAAGACTTAATTTTTGATAGACTGTTGAACAGCTGACCCAATTTTTTGTCTACGACTACGAATGTTCAATTTCGTAGACTTTTGATTTTGAACCCAATCGCGAAGACAAAGGAACTCCTATTTCAAATATCGGGCGAGATTTACCTTCGTGAAGGACTTTTTGATGGAACAAACCAGCATATCGTTACATGGAGTGGAAAGCCACGAAACCCTCCCACGGCTACCCTGATGGCAAGGAGACTCTAACCCATGATCCGTTTACCACTGAAGATATTTTACATCAGCACTGTGGTCGCTGCGAGCCGGGTGCTTAATTCGTATCGACCTGCCATCGTTGCGATTCGAACCCAGTTTATCTCCTTGGAAGGCGAACGCTCTATCCCCTGAACCACCACGGCTCTGACTGTACAATTTATCAAAAATTATCAATTGCTTTATGTATTTAGAATTATCAATTTATAAATTTATGGCATACAAATAACATGTGCGCTGATTTACTGCCCGATGGAATGCAGCTGCAGAGTTGAAATATAACTGATTGAAAGGGCCATTTTCATTTGTAAGCTTAAAGTGAGTTTTTTTTTTATTACTTTGAAATTCTAATTTGTTTGAAATTTATTGCAGTTTTTCATTTGCTTGGAAGTTATTGTATAATAATACAATAAACAATTTTAGAGTCTTCTCATTTGAATACTTTTTAATTTAAACTTTAATAGCTAGGACACAATTTTTTTTTTTTTTTTTTGCAATCGATGAACGAAGCAGTATGACACACAGATCTATAATATTTCATGATCTTAAAAAAAAGTATTTCCACCAAATAAAGTAAGCAAATTATAACTAGCAAAATACAGAAGCGAAATAAGTGATATAAGCGACAAACAGTAGCAAAATGGGCAATAAGTTTATAGTCAGAAGAAGAAGAAAAATTCTAATTGTCATTGATAATATTGTTCATATATATTTTATAGAAGTGTAAACATTTATTTACTGTTTAGGCATTACAAAATAATTGTTGTCTAAGTATAGACTCACTTTTCCTAAGTATCGCTCCCTTGCTGAGGAATCGTGTCGAATCCATGTAACAATCGACTTGTACACTATTTCTTCAGATACTACGTTTAGTTGATCGCTGGCTATTAAATCGCGAACCTAGAAACAAAAACACACCTTCATTAATGGTCAAGGTGAACTAAAAATGTTCATTCATTCTATTGATATATTTGTGGGTTGGTTATTGCAATTACATACATTTGCTAGCTTGTGTACTCAATTTAGGCTTATAAACCTTTGTCAATTAGATAGATAGCAAAATACAAAGAAAGACAGCACGAAGATACATCTAGGGTGGCAGCGGGATTCGAACCCGCTACCTTCATGCCTTGCACAGCGTTTGCCTGGCGATACCACTCAGTCAGGGAGGCCCCTCTGTGGGCTTGTTATTGTGATTGATTATTTATTGCTTTATTGGAATTACTTACATAATTGTTAACCGAGTTTGTAGCCAAATTGTTTGTCACCATATCTTTCCAAATTCAAACAAATATCGGTTTTGAGGCGCATTTCTCCAACTCACACAAAGAAACAAGCAAATTGGATGCATAACAGAACCGGTTGAACCCCATTCCTGCCTTCGAATATCGACAAAAGTTAAATAAAATATTTAAATAGAAAACTTAAACCCTTCCCATCACTCGTTGGGCATTACACTTGCTACCTCCTCGCTTTTATAGTATTTTGCTAATGCTCAGTAGTCGGTCACCGAGGTCCCAACTAAAGAGTGCTTTTTAATTTGTATTTCAAATATAAAAACGGAATTAACTCTAAGATTTTTGGTTAATGTGATGTTGCGAGCGTTTTCTATAGATGGATGAGTTAGGTGGTACCAGCACTATACCACATGTGGTGAGGTTCATTCAACGGTATAGTATTCGGTGAATGTACGGTATTCGGTGAGTACACGGGAGTATCCGAACTATTGACTACGGCATTTAATGTTGATCCAAAGACAATATCGGCACATACAACAAGCTACATCACCACAATTCAGATGGTAGGTAAGTAGGTATTTTATTTACGACGCACTAAAGCTGTACAGTGGACTGTTGGCGATGGTGTGGGAAACACCCTTGAAGATAATCCGAAGACATGCCATCACAATTTTGATCCTCTGTTAGAGGGGATGATTCCGTCATTTGGGTGGTAGTCAGCACCACCAGGTCAGCAAATGGTGGTCACTATCAACCGGTTTCCACGCCTCTGTCCTCTACCACGCATTCACGTGTAGACTGTGCAAGTTCTGAAACTGTCAGTGACATTGAATTAGAACCGACTTCGAAGCACTAAGGTAAGAACTGATAAGATGCAGTCCGCTTTAGTGCAAGGTAAACAGCTGTAGTCGAACTTTTTCCCGAATTGTGCAAAGCTAAGACCAAACCCACCACATCAAATGTTCGGCCATCGCGTAGATGGACTATTCAAATTTCGCCACATAAGTTTAATTCTGATTTAAAGCTTAATTTTATTTGCTGTAGAAGCCATAGTAATCGTAAAACAGATTTACACAAGAGATTTTGGAAGAAAAAAAGTTAAATGGTAGTGAAATTTTACTTTTGAACATGATACTTTATTAGTTTTTAAAAATTTAGAAGATAGTTATAAAAGTAAACATGTTTCAAGCCCTCATAAATAGGAACCGTTTCTCAAGACTCGCTGAACATGAATGAGGAGAATGGAAGTAGTTTAAAACAGAACACGGAACGTTATCAACTGAAAATGAAAGGGAAAAGCCACTGTATCCGAAAGTAAAAGAGAGAATGAAAAATAAAACAAGGAAAACCGCAGTAGAAGAGAGAGGTAAAATGTATTAATAGTAGGCAGAATTCTCTTATTAATGTCCTCTAGATCGTAAGACTTGATTCCTAGTAAATCTCAGAAGTCAAGCATTCACCATTGAGCTGTCAGTGAGCGGGCGGGTGACCATTTTGATCAGCCAGTGAAGGGATCGAGGGTGCGTATCGGACCTTGTTAAACTGTTCTACCGTAAAGTGTTCAACTTCACGCGCACATTGTCGGGCTTCCAAAGCCGATTATCTATCCCTTCTGCAAAGTAAATTATGCTTTGCTTTCTGTTCAAAATTTTGATCATACTCAAGGTCGTTTCCTAAATCGTTTCCAATAGTCCATTGTACAGCTCTAGTGCGACCTAAAAAAACTACTACTATTTATCAAAAAGGTCATGGTCTCATAAGTATAATTCTGATTTAGAGCAGAATTTATAATAATCACAACATACATTTTTTGAGTAAAATAAAGTTAAAGTTACTTCGCAAAAAGGTAAGAGTAAGAATTCTTCAGTGAGTGCGACCTCTTGAAAGTTCTGGAGAGCGTATTTGTGTGACTTCCTGTGGAGTTCTTCGCACGAATGAGCGTCAGCGAAACTCCGAATTCCGAGACAATTCGAGGGATGCAGTTGGCGCAATAGGAACTTGCAACAAGCCTCTCGGACACTTTGTACTTGCAAAAGACTTGCCACGGGAAGTAAAACCTGCAAAGACAATTGATTTCTTTGAAATGGTAAAAAAATATCCTTCACACACTTCAAAAATAGTTGATGCATAACAAACGCTAAAGGGGAAAAAACTAGTATTGAATATTTATTTCATTTTGTAACCGTCGTTGAACAGTGTACTCATTTTTTTGGGTTTACGAATATCAGTGGTAAACTCCGTAGCCTTGTCATTTTGAACCCAATCCAGCAGACAAGGGAAGTTATTGATCAAGTATTGCCTTCGTGGAGGATTTTTTGATGGAGCTAACCTGCATTTGCGTTAAATGGAGAAGACAACCACGAAAACCTCCCACGGTTAGCCTGACGGTAAGGGACTCCAACCCATGATCCGTCTACCGACCCGGGTTTCAACTTCTCATTCATCTTTGTTATTCTTCCTTAATAATCGACATTTTCCATGAAAAAATATAATTTAGTTTATAATATATATAATTTTTTGTGAGAACAATTTGTTAATATGCTGATCGTAACAAAATAGACAATTACTTGGGCTTAAAAAAACAATCAATTAAGCTTATAAAAATATTTAAAATTAAAAATACAGAATAAATGCCACAACGAGAAATAAATAAGAAGTAATTTTACAGCATAAAGACAACTAATGCGACAAATTGGAATGTAACAATTTATGTAACAAATTGGTTGAATTGGAAACTATCTCCTCTCTCGAGATATTATAATTTTCAAAAAATTTCTGTATAAATGTTGTGATTTATATCTGACAGCATCTAATCTCTTTCTCTCTTTTTTTTTCTTTAATTGATATTTTTTTTTTTTTTTACAAATTACAAACTTATTGCTAGTTTTCGCTCGTAATTTATTGTCGGTCTCTCAGACCCTTGAAAGCTTTAAAATGTATTGATAATTATGAGAAATCGCATCATCTAAGCGTTTCTAAAGATATTCGTAAAAAAAATCTTCGAATAAATGATCGGTAGCTAAGATTTTTCAAGACTACGGAAAACTCACTTTTCTACCAATTTAAAACAAATTTCTAGATATATTTACAATATAAATTGCTTTTCAATGTTTCTCTAGCATTTAGATGTATTTCTTATAAAATGAATTGTAGAAATCTCAAAAAAAGTTCCTTTTTGGATATGGCTATCAACACTGTCAAATCCCTGGAGTATCTTTACTGAAATTAATTTTCGTGCAGGTATTTGTAACTGGGGGGTGTTGAATACAGTGAGTGGCGTAGCAAATGAGAGTTTGCCATCGTAACGATCGACCATGTCTTGATGAAAAAGCATTTTTTTAGTTACAACATATTTTTCGGAAACCCAAACTCAAAACGATTGCCAAAAATGCGTTTTTTACTGAGAAAAAATAAACTTAGTGTTTGTTAAAACATATTTTACGAATGTTTAAAAAAAAGAAGCAGAACTGCGTTTCTTTTTTGCTTACTTGTACATTATCTTCTGAAATAAGTATTTCGCCGGTATATGCAAAATCGACTAAAAGTTGTAAGGCTCCGGGATCCACGTCATGCATGGTAATTGATGTCTTGTCCTTTTCTGACATTTCACCTAAAAAAATTTAATGAAGAACAATATTCTTAATTGGGTACTTGCTGCTCTAGAAAAAGAAGATCACATATATCCACACATGTGACCTACGATGTCAGCGTCAGTTGATCGTTTGAAAGCAAAATGGCGTGTTAAAAGCTGAGTTAAGTTTTTCTCCATTTAAGTTAAATTTTAATTAAAGCGAAGTTAATTAAATACAGTGTCATATCACTCATCGAACTTGTTGAGATAAGTTATGTTTTTTGTTTAAATTTGCATTTAATTTAATATCATAAAATGAGTTAGATTTAAAAGTTGAGAAGAGGTTTGCTTGTTTTGAGATGCTTGCTTTTTCTTATATAACTTTCAACTCTAAATTAAATCATCGATCTAAATTAAATCTCTTACTAGAACGTGAGGTTAAATCGTCAAAAAGAGTTGTCTGAATAAGATCCTCATACAAATATTTTGAACATATTTTTATGTGCCTATTTGTTTCCTCTTGAATCAAATATTGGGAGAAATTGGACTTCGTGGAGGTCTTTTTGATGAAACTAATCCGCATTTGCGTTACAGGGAGAGGAAGATTACGAGAACTTCCCACGGTTAGCCTGACTGTAAGGGGACTCTAACGCATGATCCGTCTACCACTGAGGATATTTCACGGCAGCACTGTGGTCAATGCAATCCGGATGCGGAATTCGTTTCGACCAACTATTACTGGGATTCAAACCTGGTTCATCTCATTGGAAGGCGAACGCTCTATCTGTTAAGTCACCACGGTTCAAGCTTTATTATTCCTATCTTAAACCTATTTAAAACCTTCATTAAACCTGATTTAAACCTATCTGAAGAAATTAACGCCCTGCAGTATTCGTATTTATCGCTAATTTCAGGAGAGGATAACGAGACAAAGTCGATGATTTAAAAAGAGCTTAGTATAAGGAGACGGGGGCTGCACTTAATTCGAGGATATATCCCCCTTACTGTTTCCCATTTTTCTTGTTTCCTCCTATCTCCAGGATCCTCTCTCCTGAAAGGGGAAAAGAGGATAAGTGTATCTCATTTCCCAAAAAAAGAAAATTCCTACAAAAAAAAAGTATTTGCAATTGAGCGTGAAGATGGGATTCTTTATAATAAATTGCACATACGTTTTTTTCCCTTAGTAACTTTCAAGAAAAATCAATACCTTATCGTTTCGTTGCTTTCACAACACTTACTAATGGAAGCGCCTATAAGTTTTCGAGTGTTAACTGCATTTAGGTAATTTTAATTCCTCTTTTGCTCTTATTGACATAAATTTTGATTTGCCTAAGTTCAGAAAAAGTTCTTGTTCTTAATTTGCCACTGCTTTGAATTTTTTTTATTCTTCAGTAGTTGAATATGAATCTGAACCCTCATAAAGTTTTGTACTTCATTTGTTACAAGAATTGTAAATATTAATAATAAAAGTGGTTTTAAATGAGTAATCCGAAGAAACTTAGATTTGAAAAACAACAATCGCTTCAAAATACTTTTATTAGCATCTTCATTCTGCAATATTTTGAAGTTTTTAAATTATTGAATAAAAGTTACGGAACCTTACGTACCTTGGGTGTAAGAACTTAAGAGAATTAGCAGACTTGGTAGATTATCTCTAGAACTACTTGACCGATTTTATTGAAATTTGATTATGTACATACATTGATACAATACAAAACAAATGATCATTCAACAAATGTGATACACACGCATGATCATGCATAACAGTCGTTGGAGTCGGAAGGTATGAAATTGCCACAGAACAATTGCCACGGGAAATGCTGCCTTATTTCAAGTATGAAATTATGCTGCAAGTCCTGTATATCTGTAAGAGGGTACCATATCAACTCATTTTTTTAGTTTATTCTGCAACCGCTGATACATACCTTCCGACTCCAAAGAGAGTTACGAATTTGCAGACTCTACCAAGTCTGCAAATTCGCTTAATTTCTTACACCCAGTTCACAATAATTTCTCGGTGAAAAAGGGAAAAAAAGTGTAGGATTATGTACTTACAGTTGAACATAGCATGAAAATAGGCACTGCATGCAGCGAGCACCACTTTGTGAGCAGAGATGATGTCGGTGCCAGCGAGGAGGCTCACGTCGCACAGTTGTCCCCTCTGTCTCATGCAATTCATGGCCAGGAATCCATTGCCGTGATGGTCTGGATTGACGTGGTGAACGTGGTGGAGACGCACGGCAGCCGCACTGCTGGCATTCATCGTGTCTATCACGTCCGCCTCCATGTTCACACGGCGACGACTGCAATGCAGAAAGAAACAAAATAATATCATGATTAAGGTGATCTTCAAATCTTGAGGACAATCCTCAAATTTCAATGATAGTTCTCAAAATCTTTCAAACTCTTTAGGGACAAAAAATGATCAAGAATTTTAAAATGTGTACTCAAATGTCTTCGTATTTTTTTTTCGAAATTTTTTCTTCGAAAACTTATACTCACATGTTTGCCACGATTACAATGCAGAAATAACATTTATTGCTAATTATATCTTAATTAAGGTTACCAGATGTTTTCAAATCTTGAAGACAATGCTCTAATTGCATTGATTGTAATCAAAAACTTTCAAACACTTAAGGGACAAAACATTTTCCCAAATTTTAAAATGCGTCCTCAAATTCCTTCGAAAACGTATAATCTTTTATTTATATGCAATAAAATGCAGAAAAAAAATCGAAAAAACAAAAATGCATGTTTTGTTTTTTTAAAAAAAAAGAACAGTTTTGTCTTACAAAGAATATAAACGAAACACAAAAAAGCATCCTAAAGGATGAAAACGTCATCCAATAATTTTAGCAAAAAATGAACAAATTTCAAGAATTATATACACTTTACATGTCTTCAAATTCAGAATATTATATGATATAACAGCTCAATAATTAAATAAAGTTTGATAAAGATGGTTAGTTATGATTTAAAAAAACAACTGTTGCACCTATAGATTAATGGTTTTTATAAATTTTTAATTAATTATAAATTATAGCTTCTAATAATTAATTTCTGTTAATAGTTTCTATATTCATTTCTATAAATCAGGCTAAACTAGATCAGTTCACTTTCAGCTATCCAATTATCGTTTGCGTCCTCTGGTTGCTAGCGGAAACAATGCATTTCGGCTTTCACTTCTGTTGCTATTAGCAAGCATAAGTAATTGCAACTCAAATTTTGGTAATCTTAATTATTTATGATATTTAGTTATCCTAATTCTTGTTATCTTATTTATGATTCTATTTCGAATTTAGTAGAGTTCACTGCTGACGACTGCTACACAGAAACATTATTTATCGTACGCCATTTCGAATATAATTTATTTCGATGCATACAGTGCGTAAAATAAAAAAAAAGGAACACCTTGAATAACTTTTGCTACTAATCATTGGATCTTTACGTTTTAGGACTCAATTAGAAAGGTTCAAGGGGGTGACATCAAAAATGTTAGTAAAATAGTGCTGACGATAATTTAAGTTTCGAAATCAGACACAAAAACGTACTTTCTTTGAATGAACATACCTTTTTTTCCGACGGATTCGGATTTCTGACTCTCAAAATATAGGATGTAGCTGCAATCCGGAAATATGGTCGCAATAGTTTGGTCAGGAGACCAATTTAAAGTTTGGACTCTTCAATGTTAATTTGACTTTTAGCGTATTTCACAGTATTTCGAGAAAATTTCAAGTGAATTGAAAAGTTTTGCACATAATTATAAAATTCGTTCTAGACAATTCTATGCAAAATATATCTTTCAATAATAATTTATAATAGATGAAAAAATTTGAATTGTAAAGTATCAATTTTTTTCATCATTTTAAAGAATGCAATTTTAAATGGCAAAATACAACATTTGAGTGAAATCGGTTGAATAGTCCCTGAAAAATCAAATTTTAACAAAGTCGTATTTTTAAAATTTAATTTCTCTGGAACTTTTTGACCGATTTCGTTCAGATTTTGTATTTTGCCATTTAATACTATACTTTTTAAAATGATGTAAACAATAATAAACCTTACCATTCAAAATTGTTTTGACTATCATTAAACAAAATAAAAATATATTAGTTAAAAGTTATATTTTTAATGGAATCATCTTTGGATAAACGAATTTTATAATTGCGTGCAAGATGTTTTCAATTCGCTTAAAAAGTTTATTAAAATTTGGTGAGATAAGCATAAAAGGTGCCTGGACTTTGCACTGCTGTCGTGAACAAGCTATTGGGGCCATATTTCCCAGATTGAGGCTACCCCATATACTTTTATGGTCAAAAATTCGAATCCGCTGGAAAAAAAAGGTATTCAGAGAAAGTAGGTTTTTGGGGTCTGATTTCGTTACTTAAAATATCGTCTGCTCTTATTAATTAGCATGTTTGCGACAACCCCCTCCAGCTATGAAGATTGAGGCCTAAAGCGTGAAGACCCAATCATTAGATCAAAAGTTATTCTGGGTGGTCCGTTTTTTATCTTGTGCACTATACTTATTTGCAACAATATTAGAAATGCTCAGAAAATCAGACTGAACTAGATCAGTTCACTTTCAGCTATCCAATAATCGTTTGCATCCTCTGGTTGCTAGCGGCAACAACAATGCATTTCGCTTTTTACTCCTGTTGTTATCAGCAAACAATCAGATATTTGCGACTCAAAAAGAAGTGAAGTGATTACGCATAACCCTATGATTTAAATTAGATTTAATTGGAGGAGCATCCATGGCAGAGTGGTATCACCCGCCAAACGCTGGGCAAAGCGTGATTGAATTTCGCTGTAACCCTGGATGTATTCTTAGCGATGTCCTTCTCTGTATTGTTCTATCTGTCTTTCTATTTGACAAAGGTTTATAAGCCTAGATTGTGCACACAAGCTTGCAAATGTATGCAATTCCAATGAAACAATTAATTGGATACCTGTAAGCGATGTCTAACCTGATTTGCTTCTGAATCGCCAAATGCCACGATTTACCTACGAGAACGTAATTCACAGGCATCCAATAGACCAATGGTAGTCGGGCTACTGAAGCGGAGGTGCCATCCCCTCAGCAGAGGATCAAAATTATGATGGCATGTCTTCAGATCATCCTCAGTAATATTTCCCAGACCATCGCCAAAAGCCCACTGTGCAGCTCTAGTGTGACGTAAATGAATTACAACAGCTGCAACAACAACCAATTGACCAATCATGCAGAAGATAAAGCCTCCTGCTGGACATAACCACGATGATGTTTCTCTTACATTATGCGTAGGAAAAAATCTGAATTTATTTTAAAATATTGCAGAATTTTTGTTTCGATGTTTTTTTCCCCATTGAATTTCTTTTATGCAGTGGCGTTTAAGATAAAAGGTAATTTCTGTAACTTTATCAACTCATTATTGTTATTATTTATGTTCGATTTTGATCATCATTATTTATATACTCGTATATTTCACAGTCAAAACAATATTTTGGTAAAACAGAAAAGTTGTATACGTATAAACTTTGTCCTAGAGCAATAGATATATTGAGTAGCATTGTATTGAAAGCTAACAAATAGCTGACAGCCATGGCCACTCCTATACAGTCGAACCCCGCTATAGTGAACATGATTTATAGTGAACTCCTTGATATTGTGAACGAAACGTTCGTTCCCTTCCCTTGCTATACACATAAAATATTATTTTATACATATATTATGAACTTTTTTCTCTCTTTGACTGATTTTTTCTCTCCATTTTTTGGAAATATTGAAATTTCTATATAAAATATACATAACTATTTTCTAAACCATCAATTGAGTGAAATGTAGCCATAAACATTTTTTCTTGTTTTCTTCTATTTCAGTGTTCCATCCCTAAATTTTTTGTAAGCAAGATGAAGAATAATAAAAAAAATAAAAGTTAACATTTTTGGTTACTACATATTGTTTTTCTAATCATTTTTGTACTTCATTTATTGGTCATTTATTTAAATAATGTGTAATAAAAGGAAACAGTTCGGAAAAATTGTTTGCATTACGGATATAGTGAACTACCGGCTATAGTGAACCGAAATTTCGGTCCCTTGAAAGTTCACTATAGCGGGGTTTGACTGTATTATTGACGTCAGTCTACCGAGGGATGATAGCCCTTTCTTTCTTTTTAATCATATGTAAGCGAACAGTAATTAATGTTGCTGAAAATATTATTTCATACACTTCATATATATTTTTCATTTATCAAATTACCTTCTTTAAAAACATTTATAATTGTGATTAAAGCTAGAATCATATTTCTTAGTTTTATAGTACAGTGTCGTATTAAACTTATTGCAACAACTTTCTTTAAAAAAAAAGACTATAAAAACTTACTTCGCATCAAATTTCGGTAATGGTTCATCTTTCATCATTTCACAGAATTATAATATTGTATCTACATGCATTTAAATGTTTTCGAGTACCATCCTCGTTTTAAATATATTTTTAGTTCTCCGAAAAGTCATTAAATTTAAAAAAAAAAAATAACCGTTCGCAGAAAGATTAATCGCCACCTGCATCGCTATTATTTAATATTCAGTAAACGTTTAAGGACGCGTCAATTAAACAATACAAAAAAGATGCTTTTAAGAATGATGATTCGTTTGACACAAATGTAAGCAGACGATCCATTGTGAGGGAGAATTGAGCGTGTTCTGCTCCGAGAACGAATCTGCAACTCGATATTCGAATGTTGGTGTTCTAGATCACGTCATCAGAGGGCGAAAGGAAATGACTTGTGGATTATTAAGAAAGCGACGGTATCAGTTTTCATATTATGTCTCTCACAACCTTTCTCTACGAAATAAACTGAATGCTGTGGGATTCCACGGAATGCTCAATATAAAAAAAACGGAGCACTTTAATTACTTTTTGATCAGAGATTATCACGAACAATTTTACTGATTCGAGTGACTGATTTTAAATACATTAATAAAATGGAGCAGACTACAGTCTCTGGCCAAATTATTCGACACACTATAAGATTCTATGTAAAATCTTAATTATCAGGGGATACTATACGGCTTTATTATTTTTACGCGACTGAAACTGGTTTGCACTTGCTTACGTCAGTGTATCAATGGGTTAACATTGTAATGCAATACGTTAAGAATAAATACAAACAGGAAGCATATAAAAAAATCTCCTGAATTAAAACCTGTTTAAATATAAAGAATTGGATATAAACTTTCTACTGCTCCTTTTAATGGAACCGTACCCATTGTATTTGTGAATGGAAAATAATATCCCTCGTTTCACACTTTTACCGAA